AAAAAAAATTGTTTTTGTTGTCACTGAAACCGAGTATGGAGGTTCCTTGATTCCTCAAGGTCATCTGGAGGTCATCCCAAGGTCAAATTCCGATGAGTTTTATTGAATTTTCAGGTTTATTCAATGAATTTTTCCCTACTTGACCTTCAAATGACCACGAACCTGATGTGATGGAGGCTAACGGACCTCGGATTCGCATTCAGCATGTCGAATAACATAGGGATATATAGGTTTGGTTTAATATGCATACACTTTTTTTATGTAAACCTGTGTAATTGGAATTTACTTTTTTAAACAGGTGGCAACCCTCCTCCAACACCTCAAAAATATTTTTAGCGATCAAACTAAAGATTTCTTACCACTCCATCGTTTGACATCCATATTTTGATATCACAGCGTACGGCAGTGCGCGCGAGTGACGAAAGCAGCCACAATCCTTACTAATATTATAAATCCGAAAGTGAGTTTGTTTGTTTGCTTTGCTTTCACGCCTTAACTACTCAACCGATCATCATGAAATTTTGTATACTGCTGTCATTAGCCCAACTTAAAATATAGGATAAATTTAATCTCGATTAGACAAGGGGGCGTGGCACCTCCCATACAAACGGAATTTTTCATACATGAATTATTAAAATTGAAATGGTCTTGAAAGGGCTTAATTTCAAAACTACATGTAAGAGGTTTCCATCTGTTTAAAATCTCAAATTGAGTTCAGGGGATAAGTTAATTGAAAAAGTATGACAAGTGAGAAGTTTAGGAACGTTTTAGTTTGAAAATATTTTGAAGCTGGTTAAACAAATTTTAAACCTCCTGTTTTTGAATTGAGTTTTCTTGAAATAAATTTTACTGAATGTATCACGTAGAAATTTCATACACTCAGCGAAGCGGGTGAGGGCGATCTAGTAGCTTATATATACACGAGACTCGGAAGGACGAGATTATAGGACATTCTACTTTGCATTCCCCGAAATGAAACAAAGAAGCGAAATAAATAAAATACTGTAGGACATTCTACTTTGCATTACCGGCAATACCTAAAAGAAGCGAAAAAATTCGAAGTCATTATAAGGCTATGCCTTCTAGAACACGTTACCACTAAAAGCGATTGCCGATTTTTTGCTGGGACCGCACACGTGATAGAAGTAAAGCTTCTTAAAAAAGCAGATGTAATAATTTTTTTCCNTTCTACTTTGCATTACCGGCAATACCTAAAAGAAGCGAAAAAATTCGAAGTCATTATAAGGCTATGCCTTCTAGAACACGTTACCACTAAAAGCGATTGCCGATTTTTTGCTGGGACCGCACACGTGATAGAAGTAAAGCTTCTTAAAAAAGCAGATGTAATAATTTTTTTCCATTTTTTCGAATACAAAGGATATGACCATTCTTTTTCGCTTTATTCCGTATTCGAAAATTATATGTATGTTTCAATGGACACATCCATTTGAATACATAATTTATATTTAGATAACATTTTTAGCAATATATTTGAGAAAAGTAAAACATTTAGATTATTGTTTGTATATTCGCCGATTTTAAATTTGCTACCCCAAAATAATTGATATCAAATAAAACACCTCTTTGAGGTAAAATTTTCGAGTGACGAAAGCTGAACTAGAAACACAAAATTTATGATATCAATTTCGGGACGAAAATTATACGCATTTTTAACTGTCTTGGAAATGTACGGAAAATCTTTTTTTATTTATTCGGAACGTTGCGAAATTCCGTCTACTGCTAGAAACACAAAATTTATGATATCAATTTCGGGACGAAAATTATACGCATTTTTAACTGTCTTGGAAATGTACGGAAAATCTTTTTTTATTTATTCGGAACGTTGCGAAATTCCGTCTACTGCTAGAAACACAAAATAAAAAAACAACTTTTGCAACGATTCGTATGAATAAAAAAGATTTTCCGTACGTTCCCAAGGCAGTTAAAAATGCGTATAATTTTCGTCCCGAAATTGATATCGTAAATTTTGTGTTTCTAGTTCAGCTTTCGTCACTCGAAAATTTTACCTCAAAGAGGTGTTTTATTTGATTTTATATAACTTGGGTATAAATAAAC